GATTATAATAATCTATTGTAATAATCTACTTTTTTATTTCAGCTTACTCCTAATAATTTAAATTATAATAATCCTATACTAAATCAAACATGGCCTAAATTGGACGACGAGTAGCAACCGGACGCACAGCCATACAAGCCACAGGCCGATAATATCACACTGTATATCCACGTATCACCAGTAACGTGGCAGTCAGCCCAGCAGCAATCAATCTCTCTCCCCTCAAATGAATAAATGAAGAGTAAATTCCCTGTGTACGCCTGAAAACTCACTCAATCCTTTTCATACCCCTGAAATTTACCCGATTCCTTCTATACCCCTGAAAATTCAATTTGATCCCTTCCATGCCCCTACCGTTACATTTTCCATCATTTCACTGTTACGTTTGGTTGCAAATATCCTTTTTGCCCTTGATGCTTTAGGTTTAAATATAAGCTTAAAAAACAATTGAAAAAATTTTGTTTGGGTGCACAGTATGTGCATTTTATAAGACTAATGAAACTAAATAATTAGTGCAGAAAATTTTGACATAAATTTTGAAAATAAAATAAATGTAATAAATTAAAATTTTTATTTCAAATTTTAATAGGACAATGGATTTTTTTTATCGGGAGCATTCATAAAAAAAATGTTGTGAACATTGGTAGTCCTATCTTTATATGAATGCTCCTCATTTTTATGACTTTTTTTAAAAAAATAAATACGTGTTTTTTTATTTCATTATCTAAAAATATTTTTGGGATAAATAATGCATCGCACAACAAACTCATAACTATAATAGTCTCATGCGAGAAGCTTTTATATTTTTAATAATGTAATTCATGAATTTCTTTGTTCATCCAAGGGTAAAATGGTCATTTTTATGGAAAATAGACGGTCAACTAACGGTCAACTGATGGGAGGGGTATGCAAGGGATCAAAATCAAATTTTGGGGGTATACAAGGAAGTAAGCAAAATTCAGGGGTATAAAAGGGATTAGGTAAAATTTCAGGGGTATATAAGGGATTTTCTCATAAATGAAACAGGGTCACTCTCTCTGACAGCGACTTTGGTTTGAAAAGAATCGCATGGAAACACAAGGCCGAGAATCTCCCACCAGTAGTAAACCCAAACAATAGTCAGCTAATCCTTCATCTAGCGAGGCCGTACCGATCTCCTGTCAAAGAGACGAATCATAGCAAGTTTAATAGTATAGTTCACTACTAGCTTTAATTTATCTATAACCAATCTAATAACTAATTCATACAATAATTACTTACTATACTATTAATATATGGTCCCACCTGACATACACATATTATGTCTTAGAGTCCGTACTGCAGCTGGTTACATATCTGTAAACCGCTGCTCTTCTCTCTTATCGTTTATCTTATTAAAATATATTTATAGCTGGCTAATATTGTACCTGCTCTCAAAAAACCAAAGAAAAGAACATCATCTGGGCTAGTAGGAGGAGGGAGGAATCCGGAGATCACGCGGCACCAGTAGAGTAGTACCACGCTGCACCGGCACCCCCCCTCCCCCCCAACTCACACTCGGGCGTGTGGCGATTCTCACGTACACCACCGGTGATTCTCGCGTACGCCTGGGCGCGCGGCTGGGGTGGGTTGGTTCCACGTGAGGAGGCGAGCGAAATCCCGTCCTGTCCTAGTCAGTCTCTCCCACGTTTGGCGGCAGCGCGCACGGACCACCACCATCCGCTGGGGTCGCCAACTCGCGACCGCGACGGCGCGGGGCGAGACGATTAGAGAAGTTTGTTAATTCATATAATAGTTACTTACTGTTACTTTACTGTTAATATATGGTCCCACCTGTCATATACACTATGCGTCATGGAGTCCATGCTGTAGCTGACTACAGACAGTAACCCGCTGCTCTTCTCTCTCATCTTTTATCTCGTTAAAATATATTTATAACTGGCTAATAGTCTGCTATTATAGCTGCTCTTATTCGCCTCATCAACGAGGAGCGTGAGCGTGCGCGCAGGGCGCCACTCGTTTTTCCCACACGTTTCGCCGGTGGTCCAAACCGCGTTGAGTGTTCTGTTCCCCCTCCTCATCCTCGTTCACTTCTTTTTTTTCCTCTTTCTTTTTTTCTCTCCTTTCCTAATCAGCACCTCAGAAAAACTGTTTTTTATTTCTTCTTTTTTCTTTCTTTTTAAGACGGGACCGGCGTATTTTCCTAATAATATGAGTACCTCCGAAAAACTGTACCGGTATACTTGAGATGGACGAAGTCAGCATGTGAGGCGTACGTCTCCTACCATTGAAAAATTAATTAGCCGTAAATACGAACATCTGTACCAAATCTAATATTTGAACATTTTACCGTAAGAAACCTAATCAGTTGAGCAGTTGAGCTAGGTTTAATTCTTTTTTTTCTTTTTCTTAGTGATGAGCAATTGAGCATCCATATCCATCCATGCATTGGAATATCCGATCCATCCATCCATCCATCCATCCATAGTTTACATGGGAGGGTGCGTGCCTGCCTGTATTTCGCTGTTGTTAAAGGTGGAGATGACTTGACTAGTACTACGTACTTAGCTACGTTCAAAGCTAAATTTCTCGTGTTGGAATTGCCTTGTTTAATTAAGAGAAAAGTTGGAGAACTCCGTGTAGATAATCCCCTATCATAACATAATTGGACAGCCTCGGTGACGTATTATTATAATGTTAAGAGTAAAATTTTCAAGATAAATATAAATGCATGGTTTTTATACTTCCCAATCTTGATAGTTTAAACAAAATATCGATGTCCAAAGTTCTGACCTTATTATATACAAAACAAAGTCCTTTGCATGAGGACTCCGTTACCGAAGAATGTTCAGAATTTAATTAATTATAAACAGCCCCGATGCTGAACACGTTCTAAAAAGTCCTTATGATGGCGCCCATGATGCTGACAGTATTATTTATAATTAATTAGTTGCACCAAAACAACGATTATATTATAATAACGAGCAACACAGTTCACTACGAGTAGTACACTAAACCTAAGCTGGCGTGAAGAAGGGTTTAATTAGACCAGAGCAAAAGCTGACTATACTGCAAATCAGTGGCTGGTAATGAGAGCATGATTCAGTCAAAGATTTCGCTACCAAGAAATCTTGTACCAAATCTACGAGCTGCAACTGCAAAAGAGGGATGGCGTCATTCGCTCTGCATATTATAATTAAATAAGATTAAAGCGTGCTAAACTCGCCGGAAAAAAGAACCTTAAACAAGTGTCAACTGGTGGAATAATTGCAGCCTTGCAAAGGGTAACGTGAGAGTCAAGGTGGATTAGGCACGTTAATTTAGTGAGATTAGGCGGCAGCTTTAGAACGTCGTGGCTGAGTTGGTCAGTAAAGGAATATCAAATACTCCTATGTGTTTATTGCACTCACTCCAGTAGTTGTTTTAGACATTGATATGGTCTCCAAAATGTAACATTATCCATTATGTTTGTAGTATCATTTATAGAAACTTTTGAAAAACTTGATAAAAACAATAATGTCATTGATATAACGAACACAAACTTGTATATAGAGTTCCATCGTTTGCTCTTCAACTTATCAGCTGCAACCTAAATATATATTTTTTTACTAAGTTAATTTTGAATTTTTATCATCATAGTTTATTTCTTCAGCATTGGCCTTTTGTTGCTAAGAATACTTTTACTCACAAAAGTGTTACAGCTTAAATGATGGCAGTACTGTATTCTATATATGTGTCTAATCCAAATACTATTTAATACAGATATTGGTGCTGAAAGAAACACGCCCTTTTAACAATGTGTTTTTACTAAAGTCTAAAGCTGGTAGCTACTACTAGTTGAGATTAATTTACCGGAAATAATGTAAACTTGCCGTGCATGTTGCATGGTGGGGTAAAGAAAGGAAAGGCGAAAGCGAAGCGAAGGTGATGAGCTGACGTGCCGGTGATAAGGGCACCACAATGGTTATCTATAGGCTCTCTACAAGATATCCATGTCAGCATATTTTTCTATTTTGAAGGTATTAAATAAAAAGAGAGAGCAAAACTATCTACTAACTTAGAGATAGTCTATAGAGAAAAACGAGGCAATGCATGAGAGAGCTATAGATACCAATGTAGACATACTATTAAGGTGGTTTACTATTAATCGAGTATTGCTGAGATGTACATGTTTTACAGAGAACAACTTACTTTACTATTGCGGATGCTACGAGGGACAGCTTTGGCTTGGTTTGGATTTGATGCGCGTGCGTCCTTTCATGCACATGCAGATCAGCAGCAGATGCGTCCATCGAGATGTGTACGCGATCGCATATCATTGCGTGACATTTTGCCTCTTCTCCCGTAATAGTTAATTAATTTAGCCATGATGCTTTAGCCTCACGAGGCAAATATGAAATTCTAGTGTTTACCTCACACATGGGCCTTGGGCTGGGCGCCTGGGCCATATCTAGTAAAACCAGAGAGCCCATTGCTGAAATTTTCTGGCTCGGTCGAACCGGATGATTATACAGATTATAAGCAGAAAAAGATTGATCATGTAGGTGAATTAAGATTATGAAGCTAACACTAGCTAACAAGTACTTATTCCGTTTCACAATGTAAGTCATTCTAGCATTTCCCACATTCATATTGATGTTAATAAATTTCATTAACATCAATATGAATGTGGGAATAGATAGATTCATTAACATCAATTTGAATGTGGGAAATGCTAGAATGACTTATATTGTGAAATGGAGGAAGTAGCTTAGAAGAAGTTATCTGAGCAATGTTGATATAGAAAATTCTTAGAGAAATCATACTTTTGAAAGTGTAGCACGAATAATCCACACCTTTGTTAGCTGTTTAGAACACGCCTACACTACAAACCCACATCCGAAAAAAAAAAACTATAATCCTGTATAAACTGAAAAATAACAGTCAGTGTGCTTACACCAGCACATGACTACATGAGCAGTGTCTGGAAACGATTCAATCTTGAAACGACACAGAATATTCCAACAAAACACATGCAGATATATGTCAGACCAGAACTACTAGTATACTGTAGTATTGATTTGGCAGAAGCTGCCATATTGAGAATCACAACAGCAAACATGAAACCCAAGAGATGTTTCCATGTATTGTTTTTGTACAGATAGCCCACTCATCGCACAAGTTACAGAAGAATGTAGGCCTAGGCCTGATGAATTGTTGGCCTCTTCTACGGTATGGTTTGTCATTTGGCAATTGCCAAGCAATTACATGTATCACATATCAGGTATCCAGCCTTCAATAGCCCTGTGTCAAATTACAGCCATGTAACAGAGCATTCGGATATCTGTTTTACACAATGGAAGTCAGCAGCTGCGAAATAATTGCCCGCGGTATTCACGGTTCATGAGGATGCAGATGTGAACGGCTCACTGGTCTCAAGAAGCTCGTCCAACAGACCAGTGAACACAACCGAATCAGTCTCTTTGGGCTTGAAGGTGAGCCGAGCAGAAGGGACTAGGTCTTCATCCCGCAGTGTGCGTGCCTGTTCCCCTGGTTTTGGAAAAGGAGGTATGACGCGTGTCCTAGGACCCGCTGGACAGATAAGATCGAATTCCAAACTTGGCTGCTTCAAAGAAGATGCGACAAACTACATCACGAAAATAACAAATTAGCCAAGTGCCACAAAACCAGTAAATGGCATGGATACCACTTTAGCACTGTGGAGAGAAAAAAAAATGAGTAGCACAGGTTACAACATAACATAAAGCACAGGAACAAATAAAGAATGGCCATATGCAAAGTGCACAATGGAAATTGATAAACATGTATAATGAGGCTATCCATTCAGTATATCGTGCAGTACCTTCTATTAGTTGGAGTGCTAAAATCACTGAAGGTTACTCATATCAACCCTGAAGCTGTACTCCTAATAAGGATTAAGTACAGTGCTGAGCGTCATGCATCACGAGCATTCACACAAGGAAAGACCTGTTGTTTCTATGCCAAGACATGCACTGACATACACACCGAGATCCATCCAATGGCATGTGAATCCACTGTCAATCACATGGCTAGCCAGTGGATACTATTAGGTGATGTTCAATTGGTACCCATGCATTCTGTTCATTTTCGCAGCAGCATTAAGGACATCTATAGCACTGGGGCTTGTGGAGCAGTGGAAGCAATAAGGTCAGTGAACTTATCTTAGCCATTTATCTGTACTCTGATAGGATGGGCTCAATTGTCAGAAAAAAGAAAATCTAGAGATCTTGTGTGAATAGATTATGTAGTTTCAGGGTTAAAGCCAGGACACCATCTAACTTCATAACTCACTACCCACTATTTTCTACCAGGGAAAAACACTTTTGAGACAAGTCAACACTTAATCCTGTAGTTTGTGATGTGTACTCTTGGGGATAAGAGCAATATTGTGATCCAAGATGAAGAGACAACAAATTCTATGTATCTACTGGATATCCCCTCTCATCTCAAACAAGTGATACTTTTAGACTTATCATGAATTGTTTTCATTGGTAAGCCAGTTTTACAAATGCTACCAGGTTACTCTTTAATCGATCATGGCAATTGCAAAAGTATATGCTAAGAGTGTATGTGCCAAGATATGCTTCCATGATACCAAGATTAGCTATGAATATATGCTGAATTGACAGGGTAAAAAATGGTACTAAGCAAACCAAAATGAGAAACATGTCAAACATAAGGTAAGGGAGTTAAAATACCTCATATAGTGAACTAATGGGCTCCGCGGGAAGGAACACACCCTGCAGAATTACTCCATCCGGAAACTGAATTCGAATCAGAGCTTGTTTATACTTCTGTCGGGCAGCCAGTGCCTGCTTCTCCTTATATGACTTTGGAATCAACAACCGAGATTGTTCTAGCCTCTCCCTCCTCATCTTTGCCTCATTCCTGATCTCCTCATTACTAAGGCTATAGAAAGAATCTGGTAGATCATTTTCTGCAACAGAACTTGCAGCAACAGAGAAGAACACCCGAATCTGTGGTTGTAATAGCATTTCAATAAGCCACCGTTCCACGAAAATAGATAGAAAGAATAGAAGGCATCAATGCGCAGATAGTCTTAATATGCTTAAAACTTGAGGTATGCTGGGTACTATTTATTTACTCTTAACACACGATGGCACTACCAAGCAAGCGATCTTACATTAATTACTAGGAGCAACATGTTGAGTAAAGAAAATTTATTAATGCTGACGGTTACTAAGTTGTAACCAGACATTAAGGACTATTTAGCTATAACTGATTTTACATTAATACTCCGTACGGACGGAAACATATGACGTTTCAGAGTGTCGAATTGACTTGCGCTTAGTAGTATTTGCTTGTCAGAAACGACAAGTAATACTGACCGGAGCGAGCACTACCCTTCTACTCCCACGAGATACTAGTACAAAACATATGTTTCAATTGGTATATATGCTACATTCAACTATTCAAGCTACTAAACAACAAGTAATACAGATAGGAGGGAGCACTACTCTTCTACTCCCATGAGATATTAGAACAAAACATATGTTTCAATTGTTATGTTTCAATTGTTACATATGATAAATTCAACTGTTCACGCTACTAAATGACAAGTAATACTGATCGGAGGGAGCACTACTCTCCTACTCCCATGAGATATTAGAACAAAACATATGTTTCAATTGCTACATATGATAAATTCAACTGTTCAAACTACTAATTAATTTTAGCCCAACTATGTACTAGATGAAACAGAATTTGGCACCGAAACATCATACTATAGGCAAATCGCAGCAGCTGAATTGATTTGATTGGCAGATAAATCTTTCTAGTGACTGAAACAAGCAATCGATGGATCACGATTAGCGAAAAGACAGCCTCACCTGACGATCAACCGGCTTCTTAATCCCCTGCTCTTCGCTAACTCCATTCGGGCAAGTCTCTTTGGCATCTGCCTGTGTCTGCGGCGGCGTCGATGGCCGGGCCCTCTCGAGCAGGAGCACGGCCTGCCTGATGCCGCCGAGCCTCGCGTCCCCGGGCACCTCGTCCATGAGGGCGAAGAGCTCCCCGCCCTCGTCGGCGACCCTGAACCCCACGGCCTCGAGGAGATCCACCCCGCCCTCCCTGTCCGCCAGGGCCTCCTTGATCCTCGGGTTCCCGAGCCTGACCTTCCTGTACTTGTCGTTCCGGGGGTCGGAGAGCAGGTTCCCGAGCAGCCTCTTCACCACCTCCACGGCGGACGCGGGGGGGTCGCCGGCCAGGTAGGCGGCCGCGCGGGGGCGGGCTCCCCCCGCCGCCGCGAGGCAGCCGTCGAGGTGGTCCGACACCGCCAGCTCGGAGGGGAACGGCTCGGCGCAGCTGGGGCACGCGACGGCGTCGTCCTCCCCCGCCCCCGCCCCCGCGGGTGGGTCGGTGCGGCGGGAGGAGGTGGAGATGAGCGGGGAGTAGGGGGCGAAGCCGGAGGAGGGCGGCCTCGCGGAGGCGGCGGCCTCTCGCCGGGGGGCAGCGGGGCGACTAGGGGTAGGGTTGGAGGGGCGGGAGGAGGGGTCGGGGCCGGAGCCGAGGACGTGGGCGGTGCCCTTGAAGGAGGAGGACGACGAGGAGGAGGAGGAGGAGGAGGTGACCTTCCTCATGAGATCCTTCATCTTTTCCTTCATCATCGTGGCCGGCGGCGGGAAGACCTCGTCGGCGGCGGCGGAGGAGGAGGAGGAGGTCGAGGCGAAGCAAACGAAGGGAGACAAAGTCTCAAGGGGGGGGGGGGGGGGGGGGTGGGGAGGGAGGAGAAAGAGATCCACAAATTGGTAAGGTGGGAATTGGGCGGAAATGGTGCTTCGTGGCCAAGGCATCTTCCGACGGATGGGCCCGGGTGGCGAATGGGCAGGTGATGGGCCCATCCAACTCTCGTGTGGGCCGAGAGATTGTTGTTCGGAATAAGTTCACTTTGACTCCCTTAATTAGTGACTGAATCTCATTCGTATCCCTCAACCGCATTACCGGATATTTCGACCCCCCAACTGTTAAAACCGGTGCAGTTTTACTCCCTCGTTGGGTTTGGAGGGTGGTTTTGCTGACGTGATGCCTTACATGGCGGTGTTGATCCTTATATAGCGGTGTTGATTCGGTCTACGTTCCACGTGGAGATGACGTGGCGCTTATATGTATTAGAATAAAAAAAATACGTGCAGGACCCATTTGTCATTCACAAAAAAAAAATTAGAGACCCATTGACATGTGGGGCCCACATGTCTTTCTTCTTCCTCCTCCGTCTCTCCCTTGTCTCTTTCTCCCCGTTTCTCTTCAAAAGCGGTGGCCCGTTCGGCGGCGGCGGCAGCCAGCGAACGCCTCCTCCAACCTCATCAGCGGTGGTGGCGTCGGGGTCCTTCCCAGCGGCGGGGACGATAGACTCTTCCCCAGCGGTTGGCCGGAGCGGCGGTGGCCGGCGCCTCCCCAGCGGTGGTGGCGGTGGGCTCTGGCTCCTTCCCAGCGGCGGGCCGGAGCAGCGGTGGCCACCTCCTCCCCAGCGGCGGGGGTGGCGGGGTGAGGGCGCGGCGGTGGAGCCGGGAGGAGACGCGTAGGATCTCCGCCTCGATGTGGCCGATCTAGGCCTCGACGTCATAGCCGGCGGCGACATCAAGCTCGCGGTGGTGATTCTACTTGTCACGCCAACTCGCGGACGGCCACGATGCCGCGATTGTGGGGTTTTGGGGAGCCAAGCCAATCTGGAATGTGGAGTGGCGAGATGAGCAGGTCCTCCTCGTCGGTGATGGCTCGGCGCTCATCATCATCGCTCCATGTCGTCGGTGGAAGCCGTTGCTGGAGACCACTCCTCGCTTCGCGCCGCCGCCTCGAGGCCGAGACATATCGTTGCTCCGCCTGGAGGACAACGAGCCGTAGATCCGCCTTGAGGTCGCGTTGTCGCCGCACGGTCTCGACTGTCTCGAGACAACGTCCGCCCTCCCGCTCGCCGCCGCCTGCAGACGAAGAGAATGGGGAGAGAAAGAGGAAGAAAGAAGGAAGAAGAGTATATACTTGTGGGCCCCACATTATTTTGTATGAATGACAAATGGGTCTCGCACATATTTTTTTAATTCTAATACACATATAATCATTTCCATTAGTGTTGGTGAAATATGTGTACACAGGTACAGGTATTTTAAGGAGAAAATACATCCGTCATGCGAGGAATGGGTTATAACTGTCCATGGAATGGGTTATAACTGCCATAACCGTCATCAGGGCCCACCAGTCAGCCTCCTGGCCAAAGGAAAGGCCAGGAAGTGGGAATCAGGGCCAGAAGAGTCCAGCTGAACCACCACCGGCACCTCTGGTCCTGGCCTTCCACGTGTACGTTCCTGATAAAGTCTCAATGACGGTTACAGGGTATTTTAGACATTTTCCATAGTTGTAACTGTCATATGAAGGCTATAAAAGGAGGAGCTCTTTCAACCATTATTCTCCATTGGAAGTCAATATGTTCTTCAATTAGAAATCTTGACCTTTTCATTTTCACATTGATTGATGTGATGCAGCGCATACGGAGCATTATACATCCTCAACTGGGCCTACCGCTACTTCACTGAGCAACACTATGTGCATTGGATAAGTATGGCATATCTAGATTGTGTTATTCTGTATTTAATTTATATGCATTGGGAACAATCTACAACAATTTATGTGTGTTTCTTTAACAACCTGGATATCGTGATTCGTGCAGACGTTGTTGTATGCTGATTTCTTCTATTATAGGTAAGCAATATGCCTTTAATTTCTCACTATTTTCATTTAATGAAATTCCATGTCACAATGTTGCACCAGATCTTCTAGCAATAACTGATAAACAATACCTGACATTTTTGTAGTTTGAAGAACAATGTGAAGCTCACCCTACCAGATTGACAACTCAACTAATAAGTGTAATTTTTGGTGTTGTATCATCTGAAATGTGGGTGGCTTGGCATGTCCAACCAGAAAAAAGAAAGATCAGGAAAAAAATGTTTTCATACAGTTTTGAGAGGTGTGACAATTGAACAGTGCAATAACATATGTTGAAATCGTGGTGTGCTCCATTATGTGGAAACCGCAGACGTCTATGTTGTAGATTTGAAAATCTTATAGAGGATACACGGTAAATTAAAGGGATAATAGCGCATTGCACTATGGAGATTGGAGATGAATATTACTGATATCTAGGTGATCAGCTGTTTGAATAAATTATTTTGTAAGGTCCAGGACTTTCTTCAGCATTGCCATGAGCTGCTATTGTTAAACTCTTTGTCATCATTTTGATCAGTCTAAAATTTAAATCGTAAGGTCCAGGACTTTCTAGAGCAATGTGATGTGCATGTTTAGTTTGAAGAGATCCTATAGTGACAGTTCACTTGTCAAGTTGTAAACATTTTCCCTTATGAGCTGTGAGAAACCTCAATGGTCACTACTTCCCTTCTCAAGAAAATCATATGTGCAATTGTTTGAGCTGTGACTTATAAGTAGCATCCAATTTTGAAATTGTTTGAATAAATTCAGGACATTGTTTTTTGTCATTTCTGTCACTTTAACTTTAGCTTCGAATAAAAGAAGTATAAAAGTCTTTACCTTTGAAATTGCTTTCGTTGTTTATGTCCAGGGTTGACAAATGTGATGGTAAATCACTTAATTATTGTGGTTATAGGACTTAGAGTTGGTATGAATTTTGAAACCAATCAATAAAATGGCCAAATTTATTCAAATTAAAATCCAAATCTTTGGCAACAATCGTTTGAATTTTACCACAGCTGAACAGTAATAGTTGTAACCAATAAAACTACTCCAAAAATTACAAAAAGAAGTATAATATTTGTAACTGCTTCGGTTATGTATCTCTAGCTTATGCGCCATTAAGAAAAAAAAATGTCCAAGCAATTTTAATAATATAGCCAATTACGAGCTTCAAAAAGTTGAAACATTATCTATAACCAACCTAATATTTCACTCATTTAATAGTTAGTTATAGATATGTATTGCGTTATTAATACATAATCCACTTATCTCTCACATAGTTTATTGGAGCTTGAGCTACAGCTGGCTACAAATCTATAGTATGATTTTCTTCTCTCAACTCTTCTCTTTCCTCCACATAAGAACAAATGTGATGTGGCAACTTGTACAACCCACTTACACCAAATAAATATCAACATGTACAACATACTTACATCATCTTATTGTACTCGCTCTAATGAGTTGTCTTTAGTAGTTCGTAACAATCCAAGTCAACATGAACTCCCTACCACAAATATACAAAATAGCACTTTCATAATAGACAAACCAACAAAAATCCAGCGGTTACTTTTTTTTACAGCCACCCAGAAAAGACGAATTTACCCGACTCTCTCAATTAACGCATGATCCATCAACCCAAACAAGGGTGCAGCCGAAGGAGAGGGGCGTCGTTGCCCCCTCCCCCCTTCCTCCAACATGCAAAGTACTACTACGTGTTATTAATATCTAACCTATCTAATCATCAACTATGTAAAAGAAAATGGGTCTAACAATATAACTATTATTCACATCATTATATGGCTAATATTTCAATTTCAAATCTCTAAAATACTAGCAGTTGTAATTTCTTTATTCATTTTGTCATTTTTTTCTAATTATTTGTCTATTTATCTAGACTTTTAGACTTTTAGCTTGGATGATTTTATCATCATTTATAATTTGTCTGCCCATCGCTTATAAAGCTGAATTGAAATGAATAAATATGTACACATTATAGCTACATGATAAGCCTATTTATTATATTAACATTTTGGGAGAATTGCAAATATGCCACTACTTTCATCCCCTAATTCTGAATAGCCAATATAAATACGCAAATTGCAAATTTGCCATCAAACTTGGCTTCTGTTGCTTCCGTTTGACACTGCCATCTGAAATAGTGCAACTAAAAGGCCAAAAGAAATTCATAAATCTAAAGTCATAAAACAAGGAATATAATAAGACAGCTTTGTCCTTGACCAAAATAGATCCCCTCGCTACCTCCTCTCTCCTGGATAAGAACCGATCCCTTCCCTCTCACTCCAAGAACCCTGTATCCCTCCTGGATACAGGGTAGCGGTAGGTACTTCGGCGGCGGCAACGCGCGGCAGAAGCACGAGCACTCGCGGCAGCAGCCAGCGGCTAGTGGGGAGGCTGGGAGCGGCAGCAGCAGCTCGCGGCAAGCGTCAGCAGCACACGGCAGCAACAATAGCTCGCGGAAGCTCCAGCAGCAGCAGGCTGGTCGTGTTGCAGCAAGACCGGCAATAGCAGGCGCAGGAAGCAGTAGCGGGAGGCATGGGCATATCCTTGTCCTAATTTTTATGAAAACACACCTTCTTACGGTGTTAGTCTGATCTGTCAGTTCAATGGCAAGTGTTATAGGTTCCAGCTATTTTTGGTGGCTACTATGCAATTATGTTTTTTATAAGGGTTAATTTGATCCATGCCCCTGTAAATGTGACAAATTAGAAAAATGCCACTGCTATTCACGATATCGGCTGGGTGCCACTAGAATTTTGAGAAATTAGATCCATGCCACTCCATCATGTTTTCCATCCTTCCTGTCACCTTTTCCTTCCTCCCGAACGACGACAACGATGACGAACCCTCGCTGCAGAGGCCGGCATCGTGGGCGGCAGACGGCGGAGTCGACGGGTCAAGGAGGCGGAGTGGCGGAGTTGCTGCCTTGCCGGAGCCGCCGCTTTCTCCAAGCCCCCAGCGCCCCCCCAGCCCCCCTCCCTCTTCCTCTCAGATCTGCCCGGAGGGAGGCCGGCGGCGGCGGGCATAGTTCACTCCGTCCTTGTCGTCGAGCGGCGGCCACCAGGGCTCGGCGTCGTTGGCCAACGGTGGTGGAGGCGGCTTGTCGGCAAGGAGGAAGTCAGTGTCAGTGGCCTCAGCGTTGTCAGCATCGCTGGGACAGAGGCTGGAGGTGATAGTGGAACCGGATAGCCCCGGCCGCCGTAGCGAGGGTTCGTTGTCGTCGTCGTTCAGGAGGAAGGTGGTGCGTTTGCGCTCCGTGGGGTGCGGCAGCCGCAGCTTCTTAGGGGATTTCCTGGAGCTTCTCTCCACAGGCTTCAGCGACTGCGTGCTCCGCCGCGTGGAGTCCCACTGCGAGCCCAAGCCCAAGTCATCCGTCGGTGCGCTCGTCCACTTGGGCGGCAGCCACTTCGTCGCCGGCAACTACGACAACAACGAGTACGAGTCCACCCAGCAGCACCGCATCAAGTGCATCGAGTTCTTCGGCGGCCTTGGCGCCGCGCCGCCGCTCACGTCCTCCTCCTACTGGTTGTCCACACCACCGCTGACCCTCTCCTCACCTGCTATGGCGTCGTCTTGCTTCGGCTTCTCCATGCCGGGCCGCTTGGCCGAAGTTGGAAAACGGCACGGAGTTAGGAAATTAATGGGGAGTGGATGAAAAAGTGATGGAGTGGCATGGATCCAATTTCCCAAAATTCCAGTGGCACCAGCCGATATCGCGAATAGTAGTGGCATTTTTCTAATTTGGTATATTTGCAGTGGTATGGATCTAATTAACCCTTTTTATATTGGCAAAACCACAATATCGGTTCAAACCAGTGGCAAATATGCAATTGGCCCTAACATTTTCTTATGTCGATATGATATATTACCTATGAAAAATCTTAAAATTCGTTTAATTTCAGATCAACACATCCAGCCTAATTATCAGCCTCATTGGATTAACTCCATCCATCCTCTCCCAAGTTAGTACTATTTACCACCCTTTATCAGTTGTGAGAAACCTAAATGGTCAATGTTTCCCTTCACAATAAAATCATACTCCCTCCGTTTCAAAATATTTGACGCCGTTGACTTTTTATCACATGTTTGACCGTTCGTCTTATTCAAAAAATTTAAGTAATTATTAATTATTTTCCTATCATTTGATTCATTGTTAAATATTTTTTTTATGTAGGCATATAATTTTACATATCTCACAACAGTTTTTGAATAAGACGAACGGTCAAACATGTGCTAAAAAGTCAACGGTGTCAAATATTTCGAAACGAAGGGAGTATATGCAATTTGTTTAAGCAATTTTTCGTTGTTTGTGTCTAGGGTTAACAAATACGATGGTAAAACACTTAATTATTGTGGTTATTTGGCTGTCAGTGTTCGAGAGGAGTTGTGAACTTCTCTTCTCAACACGGAAAACAAGATAGCAGATTAGCTCACGATTAATTAAATGTTAGCTAAAATTTGGAAAAGGATTAATACGATATTTTAAAGCAACTTTTGTATAGATATTCTTTTGAAAAAAAACACATCGTTTAACAGTTCGAGAAGCGTGCATGTGTAAAATAAGAGAGAATTCTTATCTTCTAACTACAAGTACAAACTTGTAGTTCCTAACACAGTCTTTGAGTTGGTAGAAACCGTTATATAAAAGTTATTCAAATCAAAATTAAAATCTTTGGCATAATATGTTTGAATTTTACCATAATCAAACGGTAATAATTATTTTCCAAAATAATGCTCAAGAGTGTCGCTACATGACCGATTGGCTTTGTACATGTGTCCCTCGCTTATGCGACGTTAAAAGAAATGAGTTACCTTTAGTAACGTCGTACAAATCCAAGTCAGCATAAACACAAAGCAACAAAAATATCAGCTCCATATAAAACAAAAAAGGCAACAAATCGGCGGGTACACTTTCGGACATCTACCCATAAAAGATGATTTTATCCTTATTACTCTACTCTCTCAATTAACATGTAACCCGTCAACTTGACTGCTTGCTTAAACTCGTATCAATATCCACTCCCTAGTTCTCAGCCTTATCGGATTAACTCCATACATATCCATCCATCAATCCATCCTCCTCCAAGTTTAGCATAGTATTTACCACTGCCCCAACACCCCTTCCATCCATAGCATCAAAATCCAACCCTAGCCAGTCACACCTCTTCCAAAACAAGAAAGAAACACACCCCAACACACAGTTGACAAATCGACTGCTCCCTCCGACGAGACTCCGACGAGAGATCTGATAATTTAACACTTTTTTAAAATGATCTTCGATTATTTGACATCCTAGCCCACTTTCGTTCACTTGGATAATCCCATGTATCATCTTTGCAAGTGGCTCATTAAAGTAAACCGACCATGAAAAATGTCCTATCAAATTATCAAATTCCTCGTCTCTGTCGCCCAAGGCTGTGTGAAATGGTGTGTGTTAGCTGGACCTTCGCCAGTTTGCCACCATGGCTGTGGCTGGGCTGGGATTGGAATTTGGAAAGGCCATCAGGGCCTTCCTTACTGCAAAAACGTGTAGATAGAGAAAATCAGACGGATGAGGAATTGAGGTGAGAGAGGCCCTGTTTATTTTCCAACAGAAACTTTTCACTATATCACATTAAATGTTTAGACACATGCATAAAACATTAAATGTAAAAAAACAATTGCACAGTTTGCATGTAAATCGCGAGACGAATCTTTTAAGCCTATTTACGCCATGATTTGACAATGTGATGCTACAGTAAACATTTGATAATAACGGATTAATTAGGCTTAATAAATTCGTCTCGCAGTTTCCAGGCGGAATCTGTAATTTGTTTTGTTGTTAGTCTATGTATAATACTTCAAATGTATGTCCATATATCTGATATGACACACCAAAATTTTTTGTGCGCGAACTAAACATAGCCAGAGTAGCAGCTTGAGCACGCGACGGCACGATGACCCCCGAGCGGGGAAATTTAACTATTTGCCACTTTTACTTTTGGCAATTGCTCAAATACCCATTTTAGTTTTCCGGTTAACAATATGCCAGTGAAGGGAGAAGCTTTTCTATTTATTTTTTTTTTGCCACCTTTTGCACTATACACAGCCACGTGGCTTGCCAGCGTGGAATGGCACGTGAAATGACAAGTATACCCCTGCATCCAAAAACCCTAAATCAGGCTCTATCCTCTGTCTCTTGTCTCTCCTGATTCCCTTCGACCGACCGCCACCATCAACGGGCGACGCCGCGCCGTCGACCCACCGCCCGCCGGCCCACCGCCCCGGGCCGGTCCCGTCGTTCTCCACCCGCGGTCCGCCATCGACGCCGCGTGATCGGCCGTCAGATCCACAGCTCCGGCATCATCCCGGCATTTTGTTCTTCCCCCAACAGCACATCGTGACCTGGTGGGGCATCGTCGCCATCGGTCCTCCGGCCGGCGGCGATGAAGTCCTCGGTTTCCCCTTCTTGGTAAGTTCGTTTTCTCTCTTGCCCTCCCTGCTTGTATTGGTGTTGCATGCATGGAGTTAGATGTGTTCTATAACTCCATTTTTCTTTTATGAATCTGTTTATGTCAGGATTGATCCTGGCAATGCGCTTAGATTTGTTGTTAGGGGTTGCTAAGTATGTTGCGAATCTAGAGTATGGAATGCTACCAATGTCAGAGCAAGACTATGATTGGTGGGTTGATATTAGCAGTGAGTGGGTATGATTTGGATAAATTTCGTGATGAAATGGCTAGCAAGGTAATCTGGGGGCCAAGCAAAGAAATTATAGTTTGGGGGTTTGGACACTGAAATTGGAACTGAAATCTGGGGACCAAGCCAAGAAATATTAATCCTTGGATATATGTGTGTTGTCATGAACTAGTATATGTTATATATTGCCCAAGAAAATGTTATTGTTCTTGCAGTCCTATATATGTATGGTTTCTGTTGTAGCCCTATATTACCAAATATTGTTTCTGCTAGATATCAGTCAAATGAATTATACAATCAGCTAGTAGTAATAAGTTGTATCATTTTTCCCAAATATCGTTTCGGATTCAGCTCTATATTGCAGCCAATTGCTACCAGGGGTATACTGGTCATTTCAGGTGCCCATTCCACGCTGGCAAGCCCATGTGGCGATGTACAGTGTGAAAAGTGGCAAAAAATTAGAAAAGCTTCTCTCTCGAGTGGCATATTGTCAACTGCAAACCTAAAAGGGGTATTTGAGCAATTGCCAAACGTAAAAGTGGCAAATAGTTAAATTTCCCCCACGAGAGAGGGTGGCAACGTCCCTCTCGCCCGGAAACCAGCCCACACACACACTCACACCGCCCACCACCCTACTCCTACTGCCCTATCGCCCAAATTTCCATTTCCTTCTCATCTCCTCCTCCTCCTCCTACAAATGTGGCGCAAGACGAGAATCATCGGGGCGGAGTAGTAGACAAACATCATAGCGCTCTTGTCTCCTCTCCTCGTTTCTTCTACTCGGAGTCAAAAAATCCTCCCAAGGCGAGGGAGGAGGGCGCTGCCGTTGGCAACGGCTATTGTTGTTGTCGGCCGCAGTCATGGACCCGTCCGGTGGCGGCGGAGTCGGAGGCATCAGCGATGAACAAATGTGGGTGTGGGGTTTACGTCTTCGGGGGTTTACTGCGCGGCCGGGGGGGGGGGGGTTGCGCGGATTGGGGTGGGGCGGGGTTTGATTTGGTCGTCGAGACGGCGGCCATGGGGAGGGGGGACTGGAATCCGGGAGGGTTTGTCGCCTCCTTTTGGGGATCTAGGGGAGGGGATGGAGAAGTCTTGTGGTTTTGGCGATTTGGTGTTGTGAGTTTGGTAGATTTGGGGGTGATCGGGTCTGGGTAGATTCGTATGATGATTTAGTTCTTGTCGGAAACGGTTTAGGTTGATGCGGTTGGGAAATGCTAGGATACTAGGAGGAGGACATGACTGTCCTTGGATTTGTGTGTTAGATTGGAAATGTTTCGCTTGAATTTTGGGCTCAAGGGGTTTGGAAATAAATGGACACATACTGTCATTGCAATGCCGTGTTGGTGATAATCAATTCCGGTTTAGGCGTCTGTCATAACACAAAGTAAATTTCATTATGATCTATGCAGAAGCTATAGGAAGAATTCATTATGATTCAATCTGTGTCATGCTTTGACTGTCCGCAGAACTGATTACTGTCTAAATATGGCATGCTATTTCACCGTGTTACTTTGATTGCGATTTATGTCTGATCTTGTAATGCTTACTGCAGTCTTTGGGACTGGCAAGCAGCGGAGCATTGTGAAAGCAATGCTGCAAGTCATGGTACATCGCTCAAAATCCATAAATCATAATGGCACCTTTACACAGATTCGGATTCCACTTACTATTTGATTGTTTCTTTTTACATTAGATGTTTCTAGATTCATGTGGGACTGCCTCAATCAAGATGATGATGACCTACTGGGATTGCTGGGCAATCAAACTCCTCTAAGAGACTGTCGTGGCTTCTTTGATATTGATGGTAGGGAGTTTCTTGTTCTTACCACCATCAGTTGTTATTCCTCTGAAATGTTTGCTTAAATGGAGATGTTACTCGAGTCAGATTTCACCTGCAAGGAGACGTTGGACCTTGAGGAATCTCGGGAATCAAAGCGCCGCCGCATATTGGAGTACCCTTCTGAGTCTAATCAATCAGAAGATGGAAATCGTGAAATAAGTTCTACCTTGGGCACATCTGAGGTACACTAGCACCTAGATATCTTCCAAGTTTGTTCATTGTGCTCTTGTTTACACTTCTTTTTCTGATCCATGTCTTAGGTATCAGAAATTTCATTGCTTTGCACCGATGAACCGCAGAGCTTCAATTGGGATTCACAGAACAATTCAAATAATTTTGGTTTGTCTTTTGCTTTTCATATTATATTGTTTGACAACTTAAATTGCTATGCCTTTTTTGTTAGCTAACTGAAATATTGGCATCCGATACAATAGATTCTTTGTCAACTGGAGCATTCTACCAATCATCACATAGTCATTCGAAAAATTGCTCTGATGAAAATCAAATGCATTTCAGGCATGACCAAATGTTAGCTACTCTCTGTTTCCACAGAAACCACAGTATTTGCTTTATCATTATATTTCAATCATGACATGTTAAGCTTGGATTCATTTTTAGGCATTCTAGCCAGGAGAGCGTTACATATACCAATGATCAAAGTGGTATTTCAGGTCAGTGCAAAGTGTACATCTACAGCTTTGTTTTTAAAGTCATTTTCATTTGATTTTCCAAACATGGTTTGTAATCTATACATGAGCATTCCATCTCATCACTGTTTGTCCTTAAGTCCCCATGCAAGATATTTGTAGAGAACATTTTGTTTGCTGTTTTCCTTCAATGCAATGCCATGTTTTCAGTCACTGCAAAATTCTATACTGATTGATGGACATACTGATTTTTTAGTTTTGGCAGGAAACTTACCAGCTCTTTCTATCTATGACAGGAACTACTGAGAATGATTCAGTGACAGAAAGTCTTGTAATGCAGGAGACTAGGAAGCTTTCTACACTTAAAGTATCTAAAGGTATTTTCAGTTTGACAGTATCTATGTCATCAACATTTCTTACTTTGAGTTTTGTCTATGCTGATCATTTGTCCCTGCTGCTATACTAGGAGCCTCACTGGTTAAGGCGAAGCAGAATTTAACTACAACTATAGCATACCCTTTTACCCTCATCAAACCATCCTGGGAGGAAGGAGACGTCATCACTCTGAAGGATATAAATCAGCGAATCCGTGCTCCTCCGAAGAAGGCTCCAGAAACCCTAGGGACTTCAGCCTTCTCTGGCAAGCCAGTCGTTGGCAAAACAAGGATCAGAACTGACGGGGGCAGAGGCAGCATCACGATACTAAGAACAAAAGGTTGAGAGTCCAAACAACTTGTTTCTCAGCCATTACCTGGATTGCTTTCAGCAATTTGATCTCCGTAGCTCTCCAGTTTTTCGTTTTGATTTTTTTTTTTTGGCCATGGATTTGGTATTTAGGATGACTATCAATGGCTAACTCTTCAAAGATTTACCATTCATCCTGTGTACATTAGCGACATGCGGCTAATGTTATATATGAGAGTTTTGTGTTCAGAAACCATGCCCCTCTACTCATCCAACTTATGTCGGATGTTGTTCAGGGTTTTCTCCCATTTTTCTGAATAGTTGTCCATTCTCGAATGGACGCGTGTAATCGTGAAACATTTGATTATTTTGTTGCTTACAATATATAGCACACATACAGGGGAGTTTATGTACGATTGCATCCAGTACTGCATTTTGTTCACATCCTGGTAACAGGAAGAATATGAGGTATCCCAATACCTTCTATTGTATCATATACCTCTCATTCCCCTGACAGTCAATCGGATGGCACATGAATCTTAAATTTTGACCTCTTGTAGCTTGTTGGCACAGAAGATGATGATTGCCATCTCTTATTCGTGAAGATGTCGGCATACCAGGATAGAGAGGACAGAAGAACTCGAACATTAGCCTCTCCTCTATGAACTATTCAGTGAATACCGATCTCGATATGTTGATGTGGAATTGAGTTCTGATGGATACCGATCTCAATATGTTGATGTGGAATTGAGTTCTGATGAATAGGTTGCAATGGTGAAATAACAATAGATAATAGTCGTTAAACACAATCATTTTGGTGCTTCTAAATTATCCATGCTTTCAAAGTAACTAGATGATACCCCGCGCGTTGCTGAGGGATATTTGTATTGATGCATATTTTAAAAAATTGTATATACACTAGTGAGAGAAATGAAAGCAAAAGAAGAAGAAAATAATGATAGAAGGCGTATCCGCGTATAAAATTATAGATGGTAGTATATCGACTTTCGAAGAACAAATAGAGTACAACACGACACACATTTTTTTTAAAAAAAAAGCATCACAATTTATTAAAAAACAACGTTTAGGGGAATTGAATTCCCGAATGCATCGCCAGGATAAGCATAAGAGTTGAACCATCTTTAACAGCGGCACACATGATGCATCACTTTGAAAGCAATGGGATGAGGTCCTTGGAGCTTATTCAAACATGACTAACCAATAAGTTTAAAGCTAATAATAGTCTTTACATCTTGCTTAAGCAAAAATTAACAAATGCTTTCATATGCGTATTTTGACTGAAAATACTGTAGCCTAGCTATTGCCTAACCGAGCAAAATTTCTACAGATGAAAAGCCAGGTTAAAAATGTATAAATGGAGCATCGAGAAGAACAAAGCTGAAGATACTTGATACAGTTATTAGGTTTGCTAATGATATGAAGCTTATTGTGCAAATGTATCACAGATGGAAGATCATCAGCATAATAAAAAATAAAAAAATATGAGTCACCCAATATACATACAAAATCTGGAGAAAAGGTTCAGCATATTGTTTGGCTGACCTGGTGCTAGATCCTACATGAGAAAACCGGATTCATGGATTATTGACTCATTCTGGCGTTTTCTCAATACATAAAAAGGAAGATAAAATGGTAGATGAATCAAAATGAATGTGGTGAATAAACAGTAAACTTATTTCAAGATAGTTTTGAGATCATACTACTATTACTTCAATTATGAACTCCGAACTGATATAATATTGGTGAAGAAAATCCAGCAGGAGGGACTCTAGCACCTATCATTGATCAGTATATAAAAAACAACCGAAGCTTGAGGGTCACACAGGAAAATTTGTATGAAATCACCATGCTTGATATGATAGAATAATATCTCTGTTCGAATTACCGGTTCACTAATTCAGTAGTGATTTTTCCCTCATTGTTTACCTTAATATACACTGTGTTTACAAAATGATCTGCATATCAAATAACTTCACTGAGACTTGGTTGGTGATAAGAATTTATATGCGGAGATTCAATAGGCCTGTTCACTACTCAAGAGTTTTCACTGTGCAATACAACTGAAACCAGTATAAAACATATAGTATTAGTTGTTGGACAGCTCCAAAGTAAAATATGGAAAACAAATGAGCATCATAGGAAATATATAGTTAGCAACCAAATACAATGTATGCATCGAGTAAAAAATGATGTAATGTATGCATACATACCATGAAAAGAAATGTGCCCCAATATTTCAACATCATAGGTACTAAATCCAGCAATAAATCTGTAAACAAACCATGAAGAATTAATCCTGTGAAGAAATTGAAGGAAGTGAATAATTAATCCGCAGGAGCAAATATTGATGTACAGAGAAGAGAAAAAAAAAGGGGGGGGGGGGCAGATCAGGATACTGAAATCTGTTCGAAATTGATAGCTTAATTTGCGAAGAGATTAGCTCGATTGCTCAGACTACGTCAATCAATATTGCTTGGAAAGAGAGACTTAGCTGGATTAGGGATAAACCCAGAACAATGGAGATTGGCATGAAGTGAAACATCCTCCTTGTTGGCCTAGCAGATGGATCCAAAAACGTGCATGCTCAGATGGGCAACAATACCAAGATTTGTACAGCTTTTCTTCTTGCGTCGTCATTAGCAGCAAACAATAGCGTGCGTTGTGACATATATGAAGATGGGATGTGTAGGTGGCAAACCAATTAATAGAAGCACCGGTTATCGTAAGACGAAGACGAACGGACAAAAACTGGGAGCCCGCTAGGTCTCCTGCAGCCGAAGCCCCTTTAACTGGTGCGGTGGTGCGTCGCGGGAGAGGAAGAGATGAGCGCCATGGGCCTTAGGGCAGGGAGGCGATGCGGTCGCGGGGCTGGGGAAGCACGGCACCAGAGGGAGAGGCGATCCTCTACCTTCAAATGCACCATACCTTTATCACTGACAGGTGAGCCCAGAGTTCGTCGGGCTCACATGTCAGTGACAAAGGTACATGCCTTTGAAGGTGGAGGAACCTGATCCGTGGTGGGCGGCGCAGGCGTGCTGCTGCTGCTGTGTGGGGACATGATGTGGGTGGGTGTGGTGCGGATGGATGGCCAGTCGATCGTTTGATGGAGATCTAACGGTTGGCAGGTAATAGGGTGACGTGGAAGCATGAGAATGCAGAGAATTCCTATTAACTACAACTAAGAGAATGCGCCACATATCAAAATCGTGCTCGCCCCCCGTTTCGGTCGAGTATGGTGGCGCGACGCGGTGGTTCGGCGCTCGGTGGCTGGCAGCCATGCGGGGAGGGAGCGGCGAGGCACGCCACCAAGATGACGACGCGGCGAGGGAGAAGGGGCTGTGCGGGCGGCGCGGGAGTAGCGGCCGTGTGGGGCGCGTCTGGCGGCTGTGCGCAGTCGGCTGCGGGCTCGCGGCAGCTCGCGGCGACGCCATGCTGGGACTCGGTCGGCTGCGGCTTGCGGCAACGCCGTGTGGGGCGCGGCCGGTTGCAGGCGCCACGTCAACTCCATGTGAAACAAAGATCGAGTCAACACCGCCACGTAGGTGCCACGTCAGCGAAACCACCCTCCAAAACCGCCCAGGGAGTCAAATTGTGCCGGTTTTAATAGTTAGGGGGTCAAAATATCCGGTATTACGGTTGAGAGATACGAATCAGATTCGGTCACTAGTTAAGGGAGCAAAGGTGAACTTTCCTTGTTGTTAATGGGCTGGAGCAAAGGTGAACTTATTCCTTGTTGTTAATGGGCTGGATTTGATGCGGCCGATTGGCCCAAATCAAACGGATTAACAGCAAGGTTTACAAAACCGAAAGGATGATGATAACCCCACCCAAAACGGTTTGGTAAAACCTGATTCACAGTAACAATGATTCCATAAGCAACATGATAATTGTCGTGAACAGCTACATAATGGAATTTTTTTTGTCCGAGATGGAACATATTTCATCGTCCAAGTGATTACAGGATTCACCGTAAAATACAGTGGGTTACAGATTCACCAGATTTTGGTGTTTGTCTCCGAACCGGAGAGAACCAGGGTAGTTCAAAACAAAGCTTGAGTGGTGGCAGCTTTCATGCAACAAATTGCTCCTTTGAAATGCAGGATTGCAGGATTCTCAAATAAAAAAAACAAGAAAAAAATGCAGGATTGAAGTGCTATGGCACCGCAAATACTATGGATTGAAAAAACAAAGAAAAAAAAAACATATAGGAATGGCCGTTTGGACAGAATGTAGAAAAAATAGGAACTAAGGCGTGTTTAGATTCAATTTTTTTTCTTCAACCTTCAAACTTTTCGTCACATCAAATGTTTAGACACATGCATGAAGCATTAACTATGGACGAAAAAAAAACCAATTACACAGTTTGCATGTAAATCGCGAGACGAATCTTTTGAGCCTAATTACACCATGATTTGACAACATAATGCTACAGTAAACATTTGCTAATGACGGATTAATTAGACTTAATAAATTTGTCTCGCAATTTACATGCGGAATATGTAATTTGTTTTGCTATTAGTCTACATTTAATACTTCAAATATGTGTCCATATATTTCAAAATAATTTGGCACACGATATAAACACAACCTAGAAGGGATAGATCCACATGATTTTTTTTCCCAACAGGTTGAAGACCATGTCAAGAGCCCCTACGAATCAAAGGATTTGTAAAGGAATTTTATACCTATAGGAATTTTTCTTATTTGGCCCTTCAATTCAAAGTATTGGAGTTTTCCAAACCCTATACAATTCCTATAGAATGGCTCATTGCATAAAGGTTTCGGAGAAAATTTAGTAAGAGATCCAACCTCTTGAAAAAATTCTTTTGAGTCTATCTCTCTTAAACGATCATTCATTTGTTTTTCCTGTGGCCCAATCAAACGATCATTCATTTGTTTTTCCTTGTTTTTCAATTTCTATTTAACACTTTTATTCATGTTAGAATCATATGTTTTTCATATTTCTAATTCAAAGATACCCTAAAATTTATACTCCCTCTATGTTCGTAAAGAAAGTCGTTTTGGACAGCGACACAGTCTCCAAAACACAGCTTTGACTTCTTGTTTCTATAAAAATATTTATTGAAAAGTGATAAATATATACTTTTATAAAAGTATTTTTCAAGACAAATCTATGCATATATTTTTTACATTTTCAAACTCAACAATCAACAACTTGAGATTATTTATGATTTATATTTCCAAGGTTTGACTTAAACATTGTCCTAAACGACTTCCTTTATGACTCCTTTACGAGTACGGAGGGAGTATGTTTTAAGCCAATCCAAAAGAATTTAATTAGTTTTTTTATAGATATTCCTTTGATCTAAATGACCATGTATGAAAATTTTCCATAGGATTGAATCCTCTAATATTCCTTCAAAAATCCTTTGTTCTAACGGAGCCCTTACTGAAGTGAGCCCAAATCTTTCAAAACAATCAGACAAACAAATGAACAATGGCTGTGAAATGCAAGTCTAGTTCACAGTTACGAGCTATCTGACTGGATTTGTTGTTTCAAGTTTCAGTACAGCGAAAGGATACTCATAAGAGTTTAATCAATATCTTCCGCACCACATCTGTCATCAATATAAGAGGTGGCATAAACATAAGTTGAAACAATCAGCCATGTCCCAGGCAGCAAGCAAGCACCCTACATGGTTCATACTCACGCAATGAACAGAAGTGCTTAAAAAAAGTCATCAATAATCAATAAAACTATAAAAGCATCAACTATAGTACCTACAACAATATCTCTCCCCACCACCCCACCCCCCCCCCCCCAAAAAAAAAAAAACAATCTAAGAGTCAAAAGTAACTGAGCTATGGCGTTGTTTGGGTGACCTTAAGATTTCGAGAAGCTAACTGGTGAGAATCTAGGAAACCCAGCTTCTAGCTTCTAATTCATTTTCTGGATTATACAACTATAGCTTCTCAGAACCTAATTGAAAATCTATACTATTTGGGAGAGCTTTTGGCATCTACATCTTCTAGAAGAATCTCTAACTACAAGTAGGCCCTATATCTTAATCTCAGAATTTCTCTAACTGGCAGGGTTTGTGCCTTCCAAATAGAAGGAAATTGCTATGTATACGACCCAATCATCCAACTAACGTATGACTAAGTTTGATCAACGGCTACACTGCATATGAACATCTGCTCCTTTGATTGATCAATTGGTTGCATGCCTCTAGTCGTACATGAGTATGCACAACTGGGTCGTATGTATAGCAGTATTCAAAATTGAATTACCATTACCAAGCACCTACTCCATGTACATTACACAGAAACCCAAAATATCAACTACATATGCAATCATATTCATGGCAGTTGCCAATTGCCACTAGAGTATGAAGCATGACCTGTGCACAAATATTAGTTTCTGGCATCTATACTAAAAGAACCACGGGTTACAATCCATCATCCTTTTTTTGGTTTTCTTTTTTTGGTTTTTTGCGAGGAAGGTCATTATCCATCAATATCAAACAGATAGTTCCGAAGATATGCCCGTAAAGCGCTTTCACCCACTAAATGACTTTAATGGGGGAAAAATGCAAGCTTCTAAAAAAAATTAGCTAAAGACGCCTAACAACTGGAGGATGACTTCATCCAGTCAGAAATATAAGCATTATACAGTCTACATGCAGACTACAGCTTAATTCATGAATAAATCAGCCAATTTTTTTCTCCAGCAAGACCAGCAGCTTAACTCATCGATAAATCAGACTTATTTTTTTGTCCGGCATGGCATAGAACAATTCAACATCATTTGATAACACTAAATGCAGCCACCAATCTAGAATTAACACAAACGACACGAAAGTCACCAACATTACCATAATAATCAGCACGCGATAACACGAATTCAATCACAACTCTCAGCAACGGATGATCCATCCAGCACACCTAAACCTCCCACCATCCGATTAACTTACAATAAGCAGCAACCCGAGCCGCGCCTCCAATCAGTACGAGACATAATCTGAAGACTACGTTACAACCTAAAGGAGCTTACCATCGTCGCCATCGCGGCGATGCGGAGAATCGGAGCTAATCAAGCAGCGGCTGGCTCCCCGACCGGCGCGGCGGGTCTCACCTTGGGCGGGCGCCCACGGCCGCGCTTGACAGGCGGCGCGGCCTCAGCCGCCGCGGCGGGAGCCGAAGCTGCGGCGGGAGCGCCAATGGGGTCTTCCTGTTCGACCTTGGCCTTCTTGGGCGGGCGGCCGCGCGCGCGGGGCATGCCACTGGTGGCCTTCGCGACCGCCTCGGCGAGGGGGTCCTTGGGCTTAGGCGGGCGGCCACGGGGGCGCGGCGAGGAGGCCGCCGGCGCCGCGGGCGCGGGCGCCGGTGCGGCGGCGGCGGCGGCGGCGTCCTTGGGCTTGGGCGGCCTGCCGCGGCCGCGCTTGGGCGGGAGGGACGGGTCGTCGCCGCGGAAGTAGTTGTTCTTGGAGAAGGCGAGCTCGCCGGTCTGCTTCATGCGGGCGAGGTGCGCTGTGAGGAGCGACGGGTGCGCGGGGGGGAGGAGCCCCTCGTACTTCCCCTCGATGTGCTGCGAGATCGCCGTCTTGTTCGACCCGTTCCTGTCGTCCAGCGCCTCGATCGCCGCCAGTATCATCTGCGCGCGCGCCCGCAACGCGGTGAGCTTCACCTCACAGGAAGGGGAGGGGAGGGGAGAGGGGAAAGCGGTTCTTACCTCCGGGTAAGACGGGGTGGCGGCGGGCTTGGGGTCCGCCTCGGCCGCCGCCATGGTCGACGCGTCCTCCTCGGTCGCCATGGGAGTGAGGCGTGGTGTGAACAGGGGGAGAGAAATTTTCGATTTGGATCCAGGGAAGAAGACGACTAGTACTCTCCTCCTCCTCCAAGTAGTAGATAAGAAGAGATGGGGGCGCGTGTATATGCTGCTGCTGAGTATATCGACGAACGCACGCTGACATGTCGGCCATGGTGGAGTGGGGCCCACCTGTCGGTGAGTGTGGGGGGAGTCGTGGGTGGTGAGGTGGGGCGTTTGAGGGTTTTGGGGGGTTGTTTTTTTTTCGAATTTTTTTGACCGGCTTGTGCGGTGAGAGGTTTGGGGAGGAAATGGACGGTGGGGATCGGGGACAACGCGTCGGGATCGGAGGGTGAGGGAGGAAGCGACAAGAGGGGGGCGCGGGGATCGGTGACGTGGCGGTGGGCGCACGCGTGGCACTCGCGGCTGCATCCGTTGGAAATGACTAATCTGCCCACGGAGTTGGGCTCGTCTGTTGGGCCCAACCAAGTTCAGGTCTACTTCCACTTCGCAATTTTGCGTTACACAGTTTAATTTAGTTCCTACTACAGAATACTCTCTCTATATAGTAACTTTTAATATGGTCCTAATAGAAAATCTACTCCACAGTCTTCCGTTGCAACGAGACAAACTAAATGTGCGATTAATTCGCTTCTTTTCGTCTTCGTCGTCTGATTATCTCTTTGGCCCTGGGGGTACAACAACCTAGCGGCTGCGCTGCTGCTGGACAATGCCATCGCGACCGTGAGAAACAGGTGTCCTCTCGGCGGTAGCCGGAGTGGGCGGCAGCGGCGCAACGTCTTCTGGCACGACCACAACCTTAAGCCTCCTAGACGCCTCCTCCCAGAGGAAGGGCACGCCGACGGAAGACCGTAGCAGTGGCGTCATGGGTTGACAGTGCGTCGAGGTCCAGCACCTTGCTTGTCCGCGACCACGCGTGTGCCGATGCTTGCAGGCACAGTGCCACCCGCACTGCCGCTAGACGGCACCTGCAGGCGCACGTCTTGGGGTGGACAAGGCCTAGCCACGGTGGCAAGAAGAGGTGGTCGCGCGGCATAATGGGGAGCGCCATGCTGTGGGCGGCGCGGGTGTTCGTGTTCTTCCCCGCCGCCATGCTAATACCAGTATGACAGCTGTTACCCGATACTTATGATACCTGGCACTTCGTACCTGTGGTATCTGGTATCAACACCTGATACTCGATACTTGTGATACCTGGCACCTAGTATCTACCTAGTACCCGATACCCCCGATACCTGTGATACCTAACACCTAGTACCTACCTAGTACATGATACCAGATACCTGGTACCTGTGGTACAGTATGGTGTACGCTAATTAATCACACATTAAAATTGTTCCGTGACTTCACTTTTTCACGGTATCCCATGGGCTAGCTGCCCTCTAAAAGAATCTTTCAAGTGTATGATATTGTGATAGTGCTTTTTGACCCAATTCTACCAAGACTACTTTTGCTAGCCGAGAGTTCTTGCGTTGCAACGGAAAAAAATGGGTTTCTAGCTTATTAAGTCAATTAAGCACATATTTGGTTCAAGTATTACTTTTATGATTTTGCTTACTGAACAAGTAGGTAATTTCAAATTTTAGAGAGATACAACAGTGAAATATGAGAGGACTTTGGAGGATGGGTGACTAGCCTATTTGGTAGATCGTTGATGGTGATATGGTAGCATATATCATGGGGCATAAATGTTAGGATATGCTACATCCGTACAAAATCCCTTATATTATAGAACGGGAGGAGTAGTTTATAGATTAGTGGTTGAAGTTCTATAATAAAGGTTTAACCTGTAAACATGAAATAATCATAAGTGGAGTACTACATACTACATACTTAGGGCTGGACGAAAAGCTCGTGGCTCGTTAGCTCGCTCGGCTCGACTCATGACGAGCTCGGCTCGGCTCGACTCAGCTCGTTACGGTTTTGAAACGAGCCGAGCTGCAGTTTCAGCTCGTTAAGGCAGCTTACACATAGAGATAAATCAGTAGGACACCTATGGGCCATAAACAAAGCCCCATGACAACCCAAGTACATTAGTCCCCCGTGCATGCGTCTACCGAACAGAAAAGTATCGCTTCCCCTTCCTCTCATCTATCTCCAAACTCCAATCCAGATCGAGTCGCCGTCGGCCGCTCCGAGCCTCCGCGCTGCTACTCCCTGCGTCCATCCATCGCCACGCCCTACCGCACCGGCGCCGCTCCGTGCCGCACCAGCGCTGCTCCTGTCTCCATCCTGTGTTGCCATCGGCCATGCATCCTTGTCAGTCATGACCATGGATGATGGAGCATGAAGAAACGAAAGGATGCTTTCTGCTCTCTACTTCTCTGTCACAGTAGGAGGCTTTTCTGATTTTGCTTTTCGTGGTGAAAGACTTCGGTGTTGTTGTGTTAGAGTTTCTTGATGGGAGATTGTAGACTTTTTCTTATATCTTTTGATAATTTCTCAGATAATTTTGGAGCCATTTCATCTCGCTGCTGCGTTCTCTACTTGTCTGATAAATACTAGCTCTGGCTCGCGAGCCTAACGAGCTAGCTCGAGCTTTCAAACGAGCCGAGCCGAGCCTCGAGCTCGTTAGGATAACGAGCCGAGCCGAGCCAGCTCGTTATCCTAACGAGCTAAACCGAGCCAAGCTGAGCCGAGCCGAGCCGGCTCACTATCCACCCCTATACATACTACAGTAACAGAATATCCCTTTCTCAGCTGCCAAGCATGCAGCCATTTCAACAAAGTCACAAATGGTCCAGAAAAAAAAAATGAAAGTACAGTACTATGACAAAGTAACTGAACTGATACATCTTTAACACAAGTAACTGAGCTGTTACAAATTTCACAAGTAATCGAGATGTTACACCTTTATTGACCTGCCCTCTATCTTGTACAATTCTATATGGATACCAGAGGTAATCAAATCAGAAGAAATGAGGCACAGCACGGCGTCGAATAATCCGCCTTCGCTAGCAGCAAATGCACATTCTACAGGGACCAAGCCTTTTTCCGCCTTGAGATCACGGGGAGAAAGACACTGCAATTGGCATGCTTGGTGTCCAGCCCACACACGACAAGGTGGCCTGATCCTCTGTTTCTATTCTATGATTTCTATCATTCTAAGGCTACAACAATGTTAGTAAGTGACCGAACCAATTAAAGAATGGTTGGCTAAATGGCTACCTGTCTCGTTTCACCCCCATTTTGCTCAAAAAAAAATTACAGCGGGGATGAAACGGTGACGATTCTGCTTCAACGTAGGGTAGGGTGGAAGAGGGAGGCAGGAAAAGCCCTGTTATGATGAGGACCAGTCGTCGGGGACGGCGAGGAAGTACCTCGACATGGCCTTCCTGAACCTCTTCTTGTACTGGACCGGCGATATGACGGTGGGGGCCTCGTTCTTGGAGCCGCCCAGGATGCCGGAGGCCTTCACCCACGTCTCCAGCTGCTTGTCCCAGGTGTACTGCCGGAGGAAGTCGATGATGCCGATCACGAGCTCGTTCTTCCTCTCGTCTACGCCGACCAGAAGCGAGTAGTCCATGACGTCCAATGACTGCAGGAATGAATCGTGTATTCGTGTTATACTGACTGTTTCTCGCAAACAAGCAGGTGGTGAAATCAGGTACTCGTGTTTTAGATTAAGAGTAAAATACACCAGCGGTCCTTAAACTTGTCAGCAGGTTTCACTTAGGTCCACGAACTTGCAAAGTACACATTAAGGTCCCTAAACTTGGTTTATTGTATCATCCTGGTCCAAAGCCGTGTTTAACCGTGGTCTTGCCTACGTGGCACGCCAAGTGGACGATGACATGGATTTTTTTTATTTTTTCTCCCTTCTTCTTTCTTTTTTTCTCTTTCTTCCTTGTCGAAAAGATGAAAATGCCTCATGCACGTCATCGTCCATGTCATCGTCTTTTCATAAAAGAGAAAAGAGAAAGAATAAGGGAGAAAAAATATAAAAAAAAATCCATGTCATCATCCACATGACGTGCCACGTAGGCAAGGCCACGGTCAAACACGGCTTTGGACCGGGATGATACAATAAACCAAGTTTAGGGACCTTGATGTGCGCTTTACAAGTTCGTGGATCTAAGTGAAACCTGCTGACAAGTTTAAGGACCGCTGGTGTATTTTACTCTTAGATTAATGCAGATAATAGGCAACTCGAAATCAGGTACTCGATTTTAAATTATCTCATGCTGGTGTTCGAAACAATCAGTACGCCACATTAATGTGAAGATAACACAACTACTATTTCTTGGTAAGACAAGAAACTATCATCATTCTCTCTGCATAGTTCAATGACTAAAAGGGAGAGTGTACAAGGAGATAAACAACAATATAAGATTGTAAGGTCACATATTCAGTTAGATTCCATTGGGATCTATAAGTTCTAAACCATAGCAAATCTTTAATGACATCTAGAAATAAATAAATTAGGCTTTGTTTGGAACAGAGGAATTCAGGCAAAAATGAAATACTTCCTCCGTTTCATACTATAAGACTTCTAGTATTGTCCACATTCATATATATATATATATATATATATATATATATATATATATATATATATATATATATATATTAATGAATCTAGACATATATATGTGTCTAGATTCATTAATATTTATATGAACGTGGACAATGCTAGAAAATCTTATAACCTGAAACAGAGGTAGTATTATTTTTGTTTACCAAATGGAGTCCGGGCAGTTTTCATACACACGGCAAAAATGCTGCTGTTTTGTCATACACACGGCAGTTTTCATGCCACGGAAGCGAAATTGTATACAGGAGTTTCTTTTACGACAAACAAGCATGGCAATCAAATTGAAATTTAAGATTTAGTCTCTATGAAAATTGGGAATATGATATGACAGTCAAATCCAAGGTCTAAGAAGTAGGGAGAGTTACATACCGCAAGGAATGATGTATCGTTCCAGACAGCTCTTTCCATTCTTTGTTTTGCCTTGCTCCCCAAAAATATAGGATTTGTATGCTGTGCCTCTATGAGATTAGAATCTAAAAGTACTTTATTGTGGCCGGATGTATCAGAATTATAGCGTGACCGCACGGAACCCTTTAGGTCATAGACCCTAGATATTGTTCGTTGGAAGAAAATGTTCTCCATCACCATAAGATCCATCTTTACCTCACGCCCTCCTTTCAAGCCCTTAATATTAACCTGGATTAAAGCAAAGATAGTAAATTACCAAAAGCTCAAATCAAGAAGAGTGCGTGGACAATGCAAATAAGACTTATGACAGACCTGATAAAGTCCCATTATTTTAGCCAAACAAGTCGGGCTCCTAGAAGTTAGTGATTCTGCCAAGTGCCTGAAATAGTGAGGAGCAAATCCTATAAAAGAGTCCAGCTCTGTCTTGGTGACCTGTTTAATTATGAATCTCTCATCCATTGTCTTTGCAAAGTATACATTGCTTTTTCCACCTTGTGCACTCCATCTCTTACAACGACTTAGTGAGCGTATGTAATCAATATCACCTGGGCAGCATTTCTTTCTAAGAGCAGCAAACTGCCTTGCAAAATAACATGTCACAGAAAACTTTGTATTATCAGCAGAAAATGCTTCATCATCAAAAGAAAAACTGAAGTGGGTTCCTTTAAATTCTGAATGGCCTTCTTGTGGGAGAAAAGATTCCTCAAATTGGTTATTACTGGCCACAGCACAATTTACTGGATGATGAAAGCTGCTCTTCGTATCCATTTTATGTGTGATGTGTTCAATGTATTCTTGTGATGTCATGACATACGACACAATACTGGTTGGCTCATCATCATAGACAGCAACAACAACGCCACCTTCAAAGTCAATATGAGGCAGTAATAGTCGTGCCCCATCGCTCACCATATGAGCAGCAGACCTGATATACGTTGGCAAATGAGTAAGGACATTTAAGTTTCCTCTTTCCCTGGGAGATATGTGAGAAAAGGCCCTCCGCATGTTTGTCAGCGGATCTTTTACTAGGCTTGTCAAATCTCGAAAGGAATCAACTGACTTTGAGGACAAATGCAATGAAGCAGGCAATAATCCCGTTGATTCCCGCTGATGCAATCTGAATATAGAATCAAATGAATGGATGCGAACAGGGGGGATTGCTTTACTGTAACTTGGATTTTCATTGCCTTTGGTTGTACTCTCAGGGAGGTTGTTGTGTAATTCACAAGATCCACTCCATGCCATATCTATTTTATCAGATAAAATAGATGCAAGTGAGGGTAATCTCTCCACTGGTTCTGTCTTGATGGAATCTTTTGATAGACTCTGTGCTATTCCCGACACATCAAATTTGCTGAAAACCAAGTCAAGGCCTCCTATATCATGCACAAAACTATCCACCATACCAACTGGCAAATCTATCTCAGGCAAGATAATCTCAGTGTCCATGGAATGGCCCTCTCTAGATAGTAGAGATTTTCTTAAACTTCCTGAAGAACACTGTGGACAAGTAGAAGGCTCTTGATGCATTTCTCCGTGATTTGTAATTGCCTGGTGTAATTCAGCTTCCGAACCCTTTATTCTAGAAGCACGGCCATCTTTTGTTATTGAACTTATGTTACAAAGCCTGCAGTCCCAAATGTAAGCATCTAGGAGGAGACCACGTCTCAGACGGTTGAGCTCCAAAATATCAATACTTGATTTCATGGAATGGGTACTCCCCCTGATAACTGGTAGAAGCAAAGTCTGCCAAACAAAAACATTACAGCGAAGTCAACACAAAAACATTGAAGCCTAGTATAAATGGAACAAAAGAAAAATAAGAAGGTACCACCTCATATTCATTTCTTTCCATGTTAAGCAAATCCTTCATCTCAATGATCTGTCTTTCTATGCCAGTTTTTAATGATTCATCCATGGTTATGATACTCTTTTCAGTATTAGAAAGGAATCCATATACCTCCGCATGTAAGGATTCCATTTCACCAAATACCTGTAGAAATATGTTGCAAGCAACACATTATTCATGTTATAACCAAAGTTCAGGATGTGAGCATGGAAATGGCACATTTTCAAGCAAAAAATAATAGCATACCGCAACTGCCTCTCCTTTAACCCATTCTTGTGTACTATGGCAATTGAAATCTAGCATTGAGGGTGGCAGGTTAACAGATAAAGTAACCATAGGACTGTACTGGAAGACAGCTACCATATTTCCGTACCTGCAATATTGAAGCAAATCGAAACATTAAACATTACTGTAGTATTGGATAGTGAGAAACTGAGAACACGGGATGATGGGAACGTAAACAAGCTACATACCCATAGAAACGAAGGCAGTCCCTCTGGAGAGAGTGACCACAACTGGCAAGTCGGTTGGCAGTCGCATGATTCGAAAAGCTGAGCTCTAGGAATTTCCCAAATGATAGACCCCAAGCAGCATCGGACATGATTACTCTATGTGATGCGGGAGGCATTCCATCCTCGAGTTTGCATCTCGTGCATCTGTGCCACATCCATATCCTTCCATCATGTTCACCTGGTAATTTTTGAGATACAAGACGTCTAACACTGATTGTTAGGCTTCCATGCTGGTGCTTGTAGCACCTAACATGTGATTCTGAATGCTCCTTACATGACGGGCAGCAATATGCCTGAAAAGAAATAAGGATGCATTACCTAATTAGTACTGGTAGAGTAAAACTATGCGTTATAGAGTGCGCAGATGAGCACAAAAAGTACCTGGTCAAATAAGTCTTCTCGAAGGTATCTCCCAAGTGGCTTATCAAAGCTACCATAAAATTTGATGCGGAAGAGGTGAGAACGCTCGCATGCCAAGCTTTTTGGGATGCATGTGCTTGAGAATGAAACTAAGATGCTCTGATGGTTGTCAGTACCAGGGAAATAACCACCTGAAAGCTTGTTCTGGTCATTCAGGCCTCCAACATGAAAGTCATCTAGTGATATGGGGCACCCACAGTTTTCCAGATTATGTACTTCTCCAAGTATATTAGCCGAAACACCAACTGGGGATTGCAAAGAGTTGCACGGATCATAATATGGTGTCACACCCATACTACCAAGGTTGTTGCCCAAGGAAACTGAATGCACATTGCATAAAGCATTTGGATGGTGCGAGTGGAACGAATTGTCACCTTTAATATGATTGGCAGGGGATTCAACCTCCCTATGTTCAGATACTATTCCCTGGCTTTCCCCATCCAATGGTAAAAAAGTTGGCGGTCCAGAAATACCATTAAAGATCTGGCTGATAGAAGCATTGTGTGCATATTTTTCTTCTTCAGTTCTCAAACTAACAGGACTACCCTGATTAGCATAACAAGATGATAGGTGCTCTCTATTGGTTTGCATTTCTGGTGCACCTACAGAAGATGTTGAAGGAACTCTTGGAAGTGTTGCACCCTCGTCCGCAAAGAATGACGTTTCAAGGGAGAGATGATAAGCAGCAAAGACTGCAAGTTGCATTACTCGCTTAATTCTTTTTAATTCATCCCGGCAAGCTCCTCTGAGTAGAACCTACATGGAGGGCGGCACATTTAGCTGGTATAAAAAGAAATGAGTAAATGCTGCAACTTATGTTTGAAAGGCAATCCTAATAATCCAACACTTCTCAGTATACGAAAAGAAAGAGCAAGTGCATCATAAAAGTAGTGAGAGGCCATTTTTGTAAATACTCTTTTTTTTTTCTTAAATATATACCGTGGGGACCTCCCTCACTGTGCTTTGATCAAAAAAAATAGTGAGAGACAAGAAAAAAAAGCCAAAAAAAGTAAGGCAATTTGATCAAACATCTTCACAAAAAGATCATTACCGTGCAACCCAAACGCTTCATACAGCCTTCAAAGAACATAAGTGTCTTAGTTGACTTTTTCTCTGAATGTTCTGTTGAGGATTCTAGAACTTTTTCCACCTTGAACGTGTCACAATGGCCTAGTCTTGCTGAGGCAATGTTGTCAATTGATGAGGCAATTTGACCACCCGTGCATCTTGATATCCTATCCAAAAGTGGCCTCTTCACATTCAGAACTAATGAAATATCTTTTGCTAAGAGCTCCTGAGCAAAAGAAGAGACACTTTTCTCAACAAGCAGCACATTAGGTCGTCTTGACTCGATCTTTCCAACAATCATTCTGAGATGTTCCTTTTCCTACATTAAGAACACTCATCAGCATGGCCACAACAACAAAAAAAAAGGATAATTGGAAACATGAACGGACACAAACCTGTTCAAGTATAGTTCCTATCGAGGCTAGTTTATTAGAAACTTTCTGGTATTCAAGTGCCCCTCCTAAAATGAGCAATGTGGCATTCTGGTGCTCAGAGACCATGCGTTTGTGTTTTACATTCTTGGAGCAAACAATTCCTTTAACAAAATTGCTGCATGCAATGAGATCCATTAGTGTCTTGTAATGATGATGAGAAGATGCATGAAATAAGTAGGCAACAATACAGACAAGCACAAACCTCTCACTTGGTTTCCCCGATGCTATGCATTTAATCTTCACGTAATCACTAGGATCCATGCTACCACCTTTCTTTGTATCAGGTTTCACAAAGTTAGCTGCTTGCCATGCCAAAGAGGACACTATCTCAAGCCAACCTTTTGATTCTTTGTCCCTGGCCAAACTAATAGCTTCCCCTGTTAACAACTGTGCAACTAGAGCTTGAAAATGCCTTAGCAAATCATTTTGAACATTCTCTATGTGAGATCCATTAACGGAACTATCAACACCAGCAAATTTATCAGCACTGAAGCAATTAGGCACAACAAAATTGCTGGAGTCACCATATTCATCGTCCTCATCATCAAATGCACATAATTTTGATTCAACGTCATCGCTCTCATCTTCAGGAGGTGGTGGGTACCAAATATCATCATCAAAATCAACAATACGGAATGATTTATGCTCCTCTTCACACCAGGAAGCTATGCTAGCACCGACATGCTCCCGAGCATCATCTGAGTCAGACATGGTTGTAGCACCATGATCAGAAGCATCATTCTGCCTAACCGTAGGGCTCTCTGATGGGCTTGGGGTTACTGATCTGTACATTGAGTTAGCAACACTAACACTAGAATCTGAATCTGAAGAGTCATGTGAGAAGTAAGTCCCTGGGGCAAAAAACTGGACCCTGGGTTCGTCAATCTCCTCATCTGCTCGCCTATATCCACAACCAAAAACCAAATGAACAGTTAAGTCAACACACTACATCAAAATGACCATCAGAGACTAGATTTGAGAATTTCAGCACATTTTGCATCTACTAGTAGCGATGAACAGTCAAGGCAACACATCTCAAAATGACGATCAGAAACTAGATTTGAAGATTTCAGCTAATTTTGCATCTAGTAGTAGCGATAAACAGTTTAGTCAACACACATCAAAATGACCATCAGAAACTAGATTTGAAGATTTCAGCTAATTTTGCATCTACTAGTAGCGATGAACAGTTTAGTCAACACACATCAAAATGACCATCAGAGACTAGTTTTGAAGATTCCAGCACATTTTGCATCTACTAGTAGTAGCGATCAACACTTCCAAGTTCCAACAGTTAAGTCAACACATGTTAAAATAACCATCAGACCCCTAGATTTGAAGATTTCAGCACATTTTACATCTATTAGTAGCGAATGAATGTGTAATTTATGAACAACCTGATCCCCGCCACGATATGGCTCAGTTCCAGATATATGTTTTTTTCCCCTTCACATTTTTGTGTTGTGCATTACGCCTAGGTGAGAATTGAGATTCGCTCGAGGCCTTACCTAATATCGCGGCAGGGAGGAGGCGAGCAGGGAGCGGCGTCGCCTTTGGTCCCGGATCTCGCGTCGGGCGCGCGGGCGCGCGGCGGCGTGGGCGGCTCGAAGGCGGAGCGCGACTCCGGGCTGCGTGGCCTCGGCGCGCCCTCTCCCTGGTAGCGCCGCCGCGCCTCCCCGTCCCCGTCGCCGCCGCCGCCCTTGTGCTGGTGCGCGTGGCTTGCGACGATGGATCTGACCTTCTCCACCGCCCCCACCATCGCCGCGAAATCCACCACGCCCATCCACACACCACTCACAAGCAATGCTCGATGGTAACAAATCCCGCCCCCCGGAAGATCAGCAGCGAGCGAACCAGGACGAACGCCGACGCCGCGCGTCCACGCCGAAGCTTCGTTGAATTCCTTCCACTCAAAGTCAGCGCCCGCGCCCGCGCCCCCGCACCGCGCCAACCAAACCAACCACCACCACCACCACCACCCTCCACCCGCCTCCGCAGGCGGAGCACCACAGCGCCGACCAAAACCAGCGGTGTGGACGCGGCGATCGATCGATCGATCTTCAGCCAATGCGGACACGCCGCGAGCCGTGCGCCGACGAGGACGAGGAGGAAGAGAGCATGCTCCGGCGAGGCGACGAGGCGAGAGAGGTGTGAGGTTGGATGAGGAGGAGTGGACGTGGCGAGCGAGGCGGCGGCGGCGGGCGGTGGCTGTGGGGGAGAGAGAGGAGGCTTTGGCTTCTTATTATACGGGAGGATGCGATTCGGGAGGGAGATTTTTGAGATGTGGATATCGATGGGGGGTGATTGGGTGAGGGGACAGTGACGCGGTAAATCGCAAAGTAAAAAAAAAAGAACAAAAACGCGGTCAAAATCCCGGATATCTCCTCGCGACGCCGACGCGGACGCGGCTCTCGATCCAGTCCGTCCGTCCGCGCATGGGCCGCCCCCGTGATCTCGCCTCGTGGAAGCTGTGGTGGTGCGCGTTTTTGCTCTTATCTCATCCGCTTTACTACCAGATGATATAATCCATTTTCTATGTTCATTTATTCATTAGTACATCCGTTTCAAATTATAAAACTTTCTAGTCTTATCCACATTCATTAACACTAGGTAATATTATTCATTAACATATATATGAATGTGGACAATGCTAAAAAGTTTTATAATATAAAATGAGAAAATATTTATTTATTATACTTCATCAAACTTTTCTTTTATAGAGAAGTTAGCATAGAAACATCTATCATATAGAATTAGTTTTATTAAACATTACATTAAATATGTTTTTATAACTTATATGTTTTATGTCCGATTTATATAAACTTAATTAGACTAGACTGGGAAAATAAAGTATTATAAGATGGAGGGATTAGTATATACTCCCTCCGTTTCGAAATGTTTGACGCCGTTGACTTTTTATCACATGTTTGACCATTCGTCTTATTAAAAAAATTAATTAATTATTAATTTTTTTCCTATCATTTGATTCGTTGTTAAATATATTTTTATGTAGACATATAATTTTACATATCTCACATAAGTTTTTAAATAAGACGAACGGTCAAACATATGCTAAAAAGTCAACAGTGTCAAATATTTCGAAACAGAGGGAGTATATAATTGGTGGCCAAGGTTGTGAGAAAAACGACATGGAGTAGAAGGGTCTTTTTCTGAGAGGAGAAATAGAGTGGTCGTTATCGACGAAGATACACATGTCTTCTTGTCCTGTGGTCATCTAGCTTATGATTGTGTTTCGTTTTGTCTTATTCTGAATTTTGTATGGACAAAATGTTTTTGTGTAAGTTGGCTCTTTTATCGCTTTTCAAATATTGTTTTTTTCCGATTGAATGAAATTAAATAACACATCATCATTTTCTTTCTATACGTGTTATTGTTATGATTTCTACAATTGCATAGGCAACTAGAATTTCGATCATGCTTACGATATAGAACAGATAATAAAAAGGGATCCACAAATAATCTTGTGATGACGAGAACTGAAGTTGAGAGTGGTTTGGTCTGTGTCAGGATCGAGAATGTGAGAATCTGAGACTAGTTGCCTACAGCCCTAATACACCTGGTTAATGATTTTATTTATCATGTGGTAATTTGACAATGATAGGGTGATATAGCTATAGGTTAATTGGTATATATCTACCTTACTTTTCTGGTAAGAAGTATATTGAGTTCCGTGGAGGAAAAATATTAGTAGGACTTATTAAGAAGAACTAAATCATATCGTCACATGCACCCACACTGTCAAATAGATAGATGTATCATGGAACTAAATTTATTTAGAGTTTCTTATCTTTTATTTCTATTTATCAGTGGCTGTTTACGAGGTTCTCAGCAAAAATGTAGAAAATCATGTCTACTGTGTTATTGATATACTCTCTCCATCCCAAAATATCTCAATCTATGTCCTGCCTAGATTGTTTGTAATATAAGTTGAGATATTTTGGGATGGATGAAGTATAATACAATTAGCTGGCATCGACTTGGGTCGGTTTGGCGACGTTGTTTTGATTATATGCTAGAAAAGTAAAGATAATGGTCAATATTTGGAGTGTCAGATGTTATAAAAATTAGACAATATAGCGAAACAACGACTAAATCTTCTCATTAGCTACATATTTATGAATACATATCTATTAACAAAATTCAGCCAAAGACTACATTTCCGTGCTCTGATTACGGGCGCTCCTCCCCAATCAATATAGCACCTAACCACTCCGAGACCATGGTATCATCGCCATCCTTTCCCTGCTTGCATATGCTACATTATAGTTGCTATTATGATTACATCATGGTGTCCTCCTCTCTATTTGGGAGAGTCCGACTCTAGCTCCACTCCTACTACCTATTTTAACTTTAGGTGTAACTATAATCAAATAGAATTGTATATTCGGCATATATTCTAATTAACATTAGAGTTTGTCTACACTCCATTACATTGGTTTTTACTATTCCCTACATTTTAAAATACAGAGGATGTGTTTTATTTTGTTAGGTTAAAGCTTTAAACAACAATTAAACTACACCGATTCACGAAATATTAAAGTGTGCAATCTTTCCCTGTATGCTGCATGTACCCTTGAATGTTTTGTCATAGATAAGCGAACAGTTTCATATAATTTCTATACATGTACATGCCATTATCACTTCCAGGGGCGCTTAACATTGGTGTGCCATGTCATATTATTTTATTTGCATGATTATTTTAGATCAGATTCAGATTCGCATGGACTATCCAATTAAGTTATGTATCGAAGACTCTGTTTGGCACAGCTCTAGCTCCCAACTCCAACTTACCTAGAGCTGGAGCTGTGCCAAACGGTCCAGATCCTATATTTTTTAGAGTGGGGTTTGCAGAGTTGCTCCTAAAAAAAAAACTACGGGGTGAAGCTGGGTTTTTACTGCTGCACAGCTCCACTCCACCCTAAAAGACCCATACCCTTTAATTATTTTACGTATTTACGCGAAACTGCCACTGACCTATACCCCCAACCCACCTCCTCACCTCCCTCCCGTAACCCTCCCATCGAGCCAGGCGGTGGCGGCGGGCGAACAGGCGCTCCGGCGGCACGCGCGGGCAGCAGGCCGGCGGCTGCGCGGCGGGGAAGCAGGGCCCGACGGCGGCTCGGTGGCGCGCGCGGGAAGTAGGCCGACAGCTGCGCGCGGCGGGGCAGCAGGGCCCGACAGCCGCTCGGCGGCGCGCGGCCGGGCAGCAGGACGATGGCGGCTCTGCGGCATGCGGCTGGGCAGCAGATTGCGGTGCTCCGGCGGCGAGCGCGGGCAGCAGACCGGCGGCTACGCGATGGGGCAGCACGGCCCGACGGCAACTCGGCGGCATGCGGCCAGGTAGCAGGGCGACTGCGGCTCGGCGGCGCGTAGATGAGCAACTGGCTGCGGCGCTCCGCCGGCGGCTCGGCGGCGCGCGCGGGCAGCAGGCTGGCGGCGGCGTGGCTAGGCGGCGCATGGCAGGCGTCGAGGAGCTAATCCCCTCGATTCTTTTTACATTTTTTTTTTCAATTTCAAATCTAGACCAAAAGAACAATAGGGTGATTTTCATGTATGTTGTGGATGATTCTTGTTTATAGGAACTTTGTAGATGTGAAAAATTATCATGTGTTTATACAAATTGAAGTGAAAACAAAATGGTAGACTATAATACAAATTTCAGATCTGAAACATGAAATCACTAGGGTGATTTCACTGATTATGTTAATTATTTTGTCGATTAATTTTTAACCTTATAATTATACTGTTGCTGAAATTCTAAAGAAAAATAAACAATTATTAGTCATACATCACGAAAACAGAAAAAATTACTACAAGGGCACTATTGTCAACCTCCCCTTTATCCTCTCTTTCAAGATTTCTGGAGCTGACAAGCTTGCCAAACACTTTTTTTCTTGATCTAGCTCCCACTGGAGTTGGAGTTTAGAGCTAGAAGTTGGAGTTTGGAGCCCTTACAAACGGGGCCTAACTGCTCGTAAATTGTTGCATCTATTTATACTTACTTATATACGCATTCACTTATATCCTGAATACTACCTCCGTCCTATTTTACTTATCGCTTTGACTTTTTTGTTTGTAATGTTTGACCATTCGTTTTATTTATGTAAATATAAAAGGATAAGTCATACTTAAAGTACATTTGATAATAAAACAAGTCACAAACAAAATAAACAATAATTTTAAATTTTTTAATAAGATGAATGATCAAATATTATAAAAAAAAAACTCAAAGCGATAAGTAAAATGGGACGGAGGTAGTAGTATAATTTTAGTTATTTTCAACGAAAGAGAAAAGAGAAGCAAGGTGGCCGGGATGCGTGTGACGACCGACGGCTGAAATAACTGCAGAAAGTCCGGCAGAATGTCCGTAATACTTTTCTCATGTCAAAATGCAATGCATATATAGGGCGCCGCCGGACGCGTGTCTGGCTCCGCGATTCGATCGCATGTTCATCCAGCAGGCAAAAAAAAGCACATCTGCACACATGGGCGGTACTGTACATGATCTCGAGCTGTCCGTGTGGATTGCCCGGCTTTCGGCGCCTTGGGATTGATTGATCGATCGATCGATCAATTCACCCTCTTATATTACTCTATCTAAACGTCGTGGGAGCGGTGAAAAAATCGTTTTCATCACGATTAATTTGTGCCGAAACCCACAACAACACCGTATTTGCTAGTCCTCTCTTTATCAAAAGCTTAAATAATTATACGTATAACAACTTAATTACAGAACTTCTATAAATCTTTTACTACTCCCTTAGCTTTTACTACTTGGAATCTAAGATGCTATGTATTCAGCTATTTATTCATTTTTCAGTAGCATATTTTCCAAGCTGTTACATGGTATATTTTTAATAAAAAATTATATAAAAGTTTCTTTAAAAAATTAAATAAATTCACCTTTTTAGTTTATAATAAATGATACTTAATTAGTTACTCCCTCTATTTTAAAATATATGGGATTTTGGAACGGAGGGAGTATATTTTAGGACGAGTGAAGCATATATTAATAAGTTGTCTTGTTTTACGTAAAGTAAAAATGTTAGCCCTTTGGCTCATTCGAACACATGCTTAGGGCAAGTGCTATGGTAGATGTGATTGCTACCTCCAAATTTATTTATATCATTTACTTACAAATTAAGATGTAAGATATACAATAGGTCACTCCTAATACACAAATATCAATATCTTTAGTACTCTCACAT